GTAAGTGATTTTCTCTGCCTATTTCCTCCAATCATGTATCTTCATCACGGTTTTTGATAGGTTTTCATCGTGAATTATCAGCGGGATATAGTGAAATGGTTATTGAATCGTAGTTATTGGATATATTGTGGTTTATTGATCACCCTCGCTGCCTCGTTCATTCATCATCTTATCAGAAGCTTTTTCTCGAAAGGGGGTTTTTAGGGCAAAGGGTTAACTCCAATCCCCGATTTTCTTGCATAAAGTCCTTCGTAAACTCTGATATTTGTCTCTCCCAAGCTCGATTTGACTTCAGAGTTGTTAAGGTCTTGTGAACGTCCAGCAGATGTTAGAGAGATCATATAACATGCAAAGAGGTCATTCTGGCTTGTGTTTAGACTGGAGAGGAATGTGGAGGATGATTTTGTTATTATTTTCTCGTTTTAGGAGGGATTTTGTGATTATTTTCTCATTTTTTATAAGGGATTGCTCTCTCCTTTATAGATATGAGATACAAGTCGTCTTTTCAGAGTAATGGAGTGAAGAAATGGTGATGATAATGATAACAAATAACCAAATAGCAGTATTGTTTATGAAGTGTTGCTTTGTAATGTATTTCGCATGTCAGTATGCTCTATATGACAGCGTAGTCTGATGAAACTGGTACGGAATTTTACATCTAAAATGAGCCTAATTAAATTGGAAACCATAATAAGTTGAAAGGTTACAGTAGGTTGGAGTGTAATAAGTGTAGGTCTAAAGAAATTTTGAATATCCCAAATTTGTAGTTTTGATTTTTTATAGCTCATAGAGGCCTGAGTTGAAATATGATCGTTTAATTTTTGGTAAGATAATTGTCTGCTCGTAGACTGAGTACTTTACGCATATTGCAGTATCCCCGATTCAGATCCCTAGATTAAACGGTTCCATTTATCTTTTCTGAAGTGAGCCGAGAAAAGAAGTTTTTGACGTAAATGGTAAAGGACTGGTGTAGTAACATGAGAAGGGCAGAAACCTAGACCAGCTGGCAAAGTAAACAGTTTACACTACAGATGTATTTGTAATTTTCCCTGATATTCTGTGGTTTACACATTGTGCTTGTAGACATATATTCTGCATCTTTAGTGTTTTGTTATGCAAATGCGTGGGTGGACCATGTTTGTAATTGTTTCTTTGCTTATATTTATGCATTTGTGTGTGTGTTTATGCACATGCATATACAACTGTTAGTGCATGTGTTTGTGTGTGTGTGTGTGTGTGTGTGTGTGTGTGTGTGTGTGTGTGTGTGTGTGTGTGTGTGTGTGTGTGTGTGTGTGTGTGTGTGTGTGTGTGTGTGTGTGTGTGTGTGTGTGTGTGTGTGTGTGTGTGTGTGTGTGTGTGTGTGTGTGTGTGTGTGTGTGTGTATACTTATGTGTGTGTGTGTATACTTATGTGTGTGTGTGTATGTGCGCACATGTGAGTGTGTGTGTATATGTGAGTGAGTGTGTGGGTGTGTGGATGTGGGTGGATGGATGTACATGTGTGTGCGCATTTGTGTGTGAGTGCACATGTATATGTGTGATTGCACATGTGGGTGTGGTTGTTAGCATGCCTGTACATGTGTATGTGTGCTCATGTCTACCTTTGTTTTTAGTCTGTTGTTTTTTGCTTCTTGTATTGTTATTCATTTTGTATTATTACTTACCTTAGGAATTAGTATTTGAAATATCTACCACTGGTATATATTGCATCCATTATAGTGTATTCCAGTAATTTACATAATGCAGGTCTTTTATGGGCTTAATGTTTGTTTACTTTTATTGATAGTTATTTTTGTATTGTTTTTTCTGTTACATTACATATTTTTAATGTCTCAAAGTTATATGGATGATGGAAAAATCTTCAATATCACATTTATTTAACTAATGAGGATGAAGAGTATGTAAATGACCAGTATACATTGAGGGGTTGGCCAGGGAAAGAAGAGTGTGTATGTATGCAAATTACATGTTCTTTAATTTTGTTTTTACTGGAATGCAAATTTGTTTCGTGTATTGCCCTAGGAACCATGCTGATCACCTATTGCACAAGAGTCGATGGTCTTTTCAACTCGTATGGTTCAGCATGAAAAGCAACCCTTTTTTTATTACTTAAGATACAATTATGATGATTTATACAGTCTTTTATTTATTTTATATTCTTGTTATAGATTCATGTATAGATATTTTTTTATGAGACTGGTAGAATGATTTTGTATAAATTCTTTATTTTATATGTACTGTGTGTGTGTCTGTGTCTGTGTGTCTGTGTGTCTGTGTCTGTGTGTGCTATGTATGTTTGTTCATTTATTTATTATTGTTTAATGAAACTCAGCAACTAATTGAACATTGGCATATGACCTTTACTTTAAAGAACCATGTCCTATATAGAGGAAGAGAATAAGGGATGATTGAATTACTAATTAAACAAGTAGTGGGTGTGTGAATGAATGAATGAATGTGTATGTGTGTATAAAAAGCAAGGAATCTCTCCCGCAGAAAGACTATATTGCTTGAATGAATGATTAATGAAAGAGGAGTGCATGCAGACCATAAAAAGTTTGTAAAAAAAAAAAATGTCCTCTGGATCGTATGTCAGCAATGAGCAGAATATAAGATTAGAAGATTATCGGAGCTGACTGTGAGAACGCAAGAGAGCCGTCTTCATTGTATGTCGTTGTTTCCTTGTATAGTAAGTGGTTTGTAGGATATTGTTGATACTGTTTAACTTGTTAGTGTTGTTGTTAGTATAAATTTAGTTGCTGTTGCAATTATGTGTTTTAACTTGTTTGAGGTTTTAACTTGTTTGATGATGATGATGATGATGATTATTGTGTTATTATTATTGTTGTTATTATCAATTGTTGTTGTAGTTGTTGTTATTGTTATATCATTATTATTAGTAGATTGTTGTTCTGTTGTTGTTGTTTATACTATTTTATATCATTGATATTACTATTATTATTATTATTGTTAATATTATCATCATCATCAATATTATCATTTTGATTACTTTATATGTTTTAGAACAGTATTATCATTGCTGTTGATATTTTACAGTTTTGAAATGATTGCTTTTTCCATGGGATTGATATTACCCTTTCCTGACACGACAGCAACTTCTCTAAATTACCTGATACCTGGGATAAAAACTAATTCAAAGTGTCTGGTTGATAATCATTTGCCTACTCAGTGACTCCAGATGTCTTGACACGTCTTCTGATAGAAGATAAGGTGAGCGGGGGGCTTGTTTTTGGAGACCTCGGTTACCAAGCTGTGTGGGGGCCTTCCTTTGTTATTTCATTTGCCGAGTGTGTAGTTGTCGTGTATTTTTATTTGTCTGGGCTTTTACGAGGGAAGTTTGGGTTTTATCAGCCGCAGAGGATGTTTTGAATGTTTAGTAGTCGTGACATGTCTCGTGGTTATGGTTGTGTCTCGTTCGTGAAATCATGAAACCATTAATGGTAGGTCAAAGATAAAAGTTGCTGTGATATAAGAATTTTTAGGTCATTTACCTGCGGGTAGGAAAGGTGTCATTGAGATTAGATGGGTATTGTTACAGGAGAGAGATATGCTATCTGCATTTGTATTGTTGTCAGTGATCAGCCTGGCGAGTGGATGCTCGGCTCATGTTGAAATGGAGGTCCTTGCTCTTGCATCATTTTCTTGTTCATTCCCACACATATAGATACAACCAGATACATATATACATACATGCATACAGATATATATGTATGTGTATGTATATAATATATATATATATATATATATATATATATATATATTATATATATATATATATATATATATATATATATATATATATATATATATATATATATATATATATATATATATATATATATATGTATATATATATATATATATATATATATATATATATATATGTATATATATATATATATATATATATATATATATATATATATATATATTATATATATATATTAATATATATGTTTATTTATATGTATATATGTGTGTATATGTGTATATTATATAGTATATATGTTATGTATATGTAGTATGTATGTATATGTGTGTGTATATATATATATATATATATATATATATATAATATATATATATATATATATTATGTACCCTTTCTACCCGCAGGTAAATGACCCACTTCCTCTTCGTTTCCCTCTCCCTCTTTCTCTCTTCTTTCTCTCCTTCTTCTCCATTTCCCTCCCCCTCTTTCTCTCCGCTTCCCTCTCCCTCTCTCTCTCGCTCCTCCCACTTCCCGAGTGCCGTCGCTTTGGCACCGCGAACTGGTCCGCAATCTCAGCGGAACCAACCACCTGCCGGGCTACGTAACACCGGGAGGAATGCGGGGGGTGGGGTGGGGTGGAGGGGTGAGGCTAAGGGTGGGGAGGGGTGGGGCGCAGCAGGTATTATAGTTTGGGGTGGGATGAAATTGTGTGGGGGGGGTGTAGGGCAGGTATCCTAGTTTGGGGTGGGATAGATGGGGGAGGATGATGATGTGGGGTGAGGGAGTAGGTATCCTGGTTTGGGGTGGGATAGATGGGGTAGGATGAGGATGAGGGGGTGGGGGGATGTAGGTATCCTAGTTTGGGTAGGATGAGGAAGAAGGGGGGAGGGGGGGAGTAGGTATCCTAGTTTAGGGTAGGTCAGAGGGTAGGATGAGAATAAGGGGAGGGGGGGGGGGCAGTTGGTATTCTAATTTGGGGTAGGATGATTGGGGGGGGGGGGGCAGGAGGTAGGGATGAAAGAGGGAGGGGCAAAGGGGGGAGGGGGAGGGGGGTTAAGGCATTAGGGCTGAGGTGTGTGGTGTTTGGTGTTTGTTTGTTTGTTTTTATGGATTTGTGTGTTTTGTTTGTTTTTTAGTGTTTTATTTCAATGCTATTGTCGTGTTTATGTTGTTGTTGTTAAGTGGTGTTGTGATGATGGTTGTAGTGAGGAGGAAGAGGTGGGTAATAATGGTATAGTTGGAAGGAAGGAGGAAGAAGGAGAGAGAGG